AATGGGAGGTTGGAGGGAGTTCAGGGCACCGACCACACCGCTGAGATGCCGAGTGCCCCGTTTTATGATAGACCTCATCTTCGGAAGCCTCGCGAGGGCGCGGGAGCTGGCAGACTCAGCGATAGTCTGGGCAGGCCACTTTCCCTCCCCTACCATTGGGATGTTGAACGATGTCGCTGTGGAGCATGGGCTGTTCTGGGGAAACAGGGCCCACGAGTTACTGGAAGTCATCCACATCCTGATCTTTAGGGCGCCATGACTAGACTGGGCGGGATGCGAACGCATAATCAAGAGGGAAATTGAGATAGGAGAGAGTTATTTAGCAGGGGTGGCTGAACTATTTGAGGAGCCGACCGAACCAGAAGAGCCGCGAGGGCGAGAGCGGGACTAGCATCGACAGGCAGGCCAATAGGGCAGATCGAGTATAGTTCGCTGTGTACGGAAATTCGCCGATGGGAATAAGAAAGGGGCCTCGGACCCGGATGGCTAAAACCCACTAGAAAAACAAAGAAGGGGGTAGACTCCTAATGATTGACCATAACCCTGAAGGTCAAAAATAGAAAACACAACTCGAGAAGACTTTCCTTAGCAGAATGCCTAACCCAGACTCCCTCGCGTCGGCCCGACGGGACAAGGGCACTACAAACGAGCTTGTGACAAAGGAAGCCAAGTCACGCTCATAAAGATAAGCCAACAGAGTCGGGAGCCTAGGGAACCTAAATACCTTGCATTGTCCTGGGAATTCTTTGGCTTATGCAGAACTAGGCAAAATGGCAACGGAGGAGGAGACAGATAACCGTAAAAGTGAAGGAGAACCAGGCTTAGGAGGCAGTGCCGTACAAAGCGAAGGGGGGCAGAAGGACAGAAAATCGATAAATCTGGATGGTACCAAAGGGAACCGGAAGGAAATCTATACAGGAGAAAGCTCGGGGAAAGCCGGGGGAAGCAGGCAAGGGATTCAAGAGACCAAGGAGGGCAGAAATAAGGATAGGACAAGCCCCCGGAACTCGGAAGGAGCCATGTCTAAGAAAGTAAGGGTTAAGGATGCGAGGCGCAAATTAGCCGAGATAGAAAAAAGGACCGCGGAATACAAGGCAAGATTGATTGAGGAAATGATGACTGGGAACGAAGAAGGTCCTCTGCAGGAGGAACCCCGGGACGAACGGAGAGCCAGCCGAGGTGGGACTGGACAAGGGGATAAGGGTAGTGACCGTGGTGGAACGCCGAGCAAGAGAAGGAAAGAGAGAGAGAACTCTCCGGGGATGGAAGCAGAAAAGGCTAGGACTTCGCCAGCCATGGATAGTAGGATTAGCCGCCTGCCGACCACGCCAGCAGTAACACGAGGATGCGAAGGACTTTGGAGCCTTAGGGAAAGAGTGTTGGGATGGTTTGACCCAGAAGGAACTATGAAAACCAGGGAGGGACAAAAGGCCGGCAAGGAAGGTCCGGATAACAGCATGGCAGGCGAGGCCAGCAGCTCCGAAGGCGGCCTTAAGAAGATGGTGCCGTCCCTCGCGCGAGCACTGAACAAAAATCAAGGCTACCTAGCGGATGCTAAGAAAAAGTTGACGTTCGATGGGGCGAACATCACGGAATTCCTGATAGATTACGAAAATCTAGCTGCGTTGTTGAAATGGACCGAAGAAGAGAAGATGGACCACCTGGGGCAGCATGTGTCTTTGAGCCTAGGGCGGGACATAATGGCCATTGTGGCCGCGAGCCGGTCTTGGAAAGAAACCCGGGATGTGATGATGAGAAAATATTTGGCAGCAGAGAAGATGGCAACGGAGGCCGATTTAGCGGCAGTCCAGAGAAAGAACTTCGCAACGTACAATGACTTCCTACGGGAGTTTACTTTGGTAGCACTAAGAATCCCCGGGGTTCGGACCGAATAATGAGTAAGTACTTCCTCAGACAGTTCTCCGAGTTTGACAAGGACAAGATTATGTCGGCTTACCAATAAACGAGCAAATTTGTAAACACTAGGGACGTTGATTTCAGTACGATAACGGATCTGGCCGAAAAAACGGTAATAACGGAGACATTGGCCTTGCTTAAGGAAGGGGAGGTCATAGATATGACCGGTAGAACAGGCGATAAGGTAAAGAAGGGGATTGAAAGTCTACATGAGCGGGTACACGGGGTTGACAGTAAGATTGAGAGGATGGAGGGCGCACTACTGGTTATGCCGGCGCAAGTATCCCGGCCCGCCCTCCCTCCCCAGGAAGCTGTGGTTCCGCCAGGTGTAGCCAACCGGGGATTCGGACGGAGAGATCCTGCTAACGAGCAATGCAAGTACTGCACCGCGATGGGACATTATGTACGTGCATGTCCAAAGCTCAACCATAATATCTTAAAGAGGAGATGCACCAGGTCATTAAAGGGAGAGATATTCGAACCACAGGGAGAGCGGGTGAATTGGAACTTACCAGGGGGAATGCGACGAGCCGTTATCATGCTCAACGGATTAGAGATAACGGCCGTAGAATCTGAGCCGGTGGTCGATATCATTTGGGATCAACTGCGGGGCCGCGGGCCGCAGGTCAACTTTATTTTGCAAAACGACGGACGTGATAGGGTGAACGCAACCACTCGACTGGGAACGGCCGGGAGAAGGATTAACCGTGACGCCATTATGGAGGAGGTCGCCGGAAGCTCCGAACCCTAGGCAGAGCCTGAGGCCGAGGAACCAGAGAAAGTCTATGGAAAACCTAGGGAAGAGGAGCCTACAGACAAAGTTACCGCTGCCAAGAAGAAGTTTAGGTACCAAATCCCGATCTTATCCTTGCCTGAGATCGACGACACCAATAGCAAGTTACTAGGAACCATGGTGTCGGTGTCTTTTCAGACCATGTTGCAGGCTAGCCCTAGGTTGCTCAAAGGGCTTAGACAACTATTGACTCGGCAACGAATAGAAATAAGCGACAACCCCGAATTACCAGAAGGGGAGAAGGAGGAGGAAGCTCTGCAAGAAGTGGCTAACCTTCAGAGGAGTTACGGGGACTTGGAGGATCTCGAGAAAGCCTTTGCGGACATTCGTTTGAGCTTGCCCGACCGAGAGGGCGGCGAGGTCATGAGGTCACCGCCCAGGACGAAACTTAGCTTTCATGCACTGCCCGTAGGGAAGCTGAAAATCCAGATCGGGAGTCATCATACCGACGCATTAGTAGACGGGGGAGCAGAAATCACTCTCATAAGAAGAGATTTCGCAACGATCACAGGATGTACGGTAAACAAGGAAGTAACAGGGAGCATCCGGGGAGCTGGCGCAAAAATCCCGTTCGCACGGTACGTCACGAAGTGCGCTGTAAAGGCAGGAGTCAGGGAATCGATCTGGTCGTTTTAGCGGATGACCGTAATGGAGGAAATGGACCACGACATAATCCTCGGGAGACTGTGGTGCGCGAACATGGAGATGATAGGCATGCACTTGCATGATGGCTCATACATGATAGACATAGAGGACCCCGTGACCGGCCAGGGAGAGCTCCTTCGACTCTTTGGAACGGGAGGAGACCCCCCGAAGGGAAAATTGGCAACATGGTCGCCATCGTTCGAGGATAGCACGCGAAAAGGGGCTTTCGCACGGATGGAGGGTATGAGAGAAAGGGTAGAAATCATGATTGAGGAAGCATTCAACAAGAAGGAGTGGATCAAGATGGGCCTGCCCCAGAAGAAAAGGAGGCAGGAGGACGAAGTCCTAGGCGTTATGGTAGCAGAAAAAGAGTCGGAGGTCGAACATGGTGCTCGCCTGCCCAAGCAGAAAGAAGTACACCCAGACGTGCCAGAAGTCGCACTCAAGATCCCCGACCTATTACAACTCATCAAGGCCCTCAGATACCACAAGGTAGGAGTAGACTCAGCAGCCTTGGCCAAGTTCGAAGGAGAGGTGCAAAGGGGATATTGCCTGAATGGGAAGCTAGTTAGTATTCAACCACGAGTCGTAGAGGCGACGAGGGCGATTTCGACCGTTCATTTTTTAGGAGAAAGATCCCGGAAGGAAGTGTTCGAAAGTACAAGCCGGTAGGGAAGAAAGTGAAACCGGTCTCGATCCTGCTAGAGACATCAAAGGAAGAGGCTATGGAGAAGGAGGAAGAGGTCCTTCGAGTGATCCGAGAAAGAAGGGCGACAGAGGGACATCGGATACCAGATGAGGTAGCTGACACAATGAAGATAGGTGAAGATAGGGATAGACGGGTTCTTAACGGAAGAAGAAACCCGCCTGATCAAAAGGACCTGCCAGGAGTTTCACCTGGCATTTGCCCTTAGTGATCACCAGAAGGGACGACTGGATGCGAAGCTGATCCCTTCGGTCAGAATCCACACGGTAGAACATGAGTGCTGGAATGACAAGGGGCCGTCCTATGAATTTGGGATAGCAAGAGAAGTAACAGACCTCCTCCGAGCGAAAATGGACTCCTTCGTTGCGGAGTCTATGGCGTCGCCATACGCAAACCGGTGGTTCGTCTTTCGGAAGCCTAACAAGACACTAAGGTGGATTCAGGACCTGCAGAAGTTGAATGCGGTAACCATCCGGGATGCTGGCTCGCTACCTCAGGCTGACTTATTAGCAGAATCGCACGTCGGTCGGAGCATTTACTCCCTGATAGATCTGTACTCAGGGTACGACCAACTTCTGTTGGATGTTCGGGACAGGCCATACACCGCTATGCACACCCCCGTAGGCCAGCTACAGATGCAAGTGACCCCTATGGGATTCACAAACGAGGTGGCTGAAGCGCAACGCAGGATGCTCGTCGTGGCCGGGGACATGTTCCCAGAAAAATGTGAGCCTTACATCGATGACAATCCAATCAAAGGCGCCCAGGAGAAGGACGAGACGGAAGTCCAGCCAGGGATCCAAAGTTTTGTGTGGGACCACCTGCAGGACATCAATGACTTACTCCGCCGGTTCCTAGTATACAACATTACGGCCAGTGGACCAAAGAGTATCCTAGCAGTACCGGAGGTAACTATACTAGGATTTCGTTGCGGTGCTTACGGCAGGAAACCGGATCCGGCAAAGACCGACAAGATATCACAGTGACCGACACCACTGCGCACGATGACGGAGGTAAGGGCATTCCTAGGCGTAGTCGGCTTTTGGAGGATCTTCATTAAGAACTTTGCCAAGATTGCTGAGCCTATCCGGGCTATGATCAGGGAAGAAGGAACCATGGACTGGACGGAGGAACGAGAAGGAGATGTCCAAAAGCTCAAGGACATATTCACATCTGAGACAGTCGCCCTGTCCGCGCCTTGTTTTAATGACGAAGTAGGACGACCCTTCATCCTAGAGACGGATGGAGGACCTTTGGCCGTAGGAGGTGTGTTGATTCAAAGGGATGAGGGAGGAAAAGAGAAACCAAGTAGGTTTAAAAGTAGAACCCTGAACTCCGCAGAGCGGCGGTACTCACAGTTCAAGAAGGAGGACCTAGCCATCTTGCATTGTCTTAAGACTTTTCAGGCCTACCTATTTGGGAGGCGGTTCATCCTCAGGATCGATCCGACGAATGTTGCAGGGGCCTTAAAGAATTACAGGCCTATAGATCCGACGGTGGGGAGATGGGTAGGGTTTATCTGGCAGTTCGATTATAAGATCGAACGGATTGCGGGAATTAGGAACAAGGCTGATGGGCTGAGCCGGGCCGGCATCACTCCCGAAGGGGTGGAGGATGCAGAGCCCATAGACGCATTCCTCGAATACGAAGGGGGAACTCTTGCGGTGGATAACGAAAGGATGAGCGAAGAATGTACGTCGGGAGAACTATTGATCCAGACTTTGGAGAAGGGGGCACCTGCCGTAGTAGCAGAACTTAGAGAAGGACCAGTCACCACTCAAGGACGCAGCGAGGCAAAGGACTCATGGGGAGCGATAGTAGGGCCAGGTTCCTACGCCGTCCACTGCCGAGTCCACCCACATGTCTCGTGCCGACGCAGACGTTGAGGAACTCATGCGGTTCATGGCTGACTTAGAGCCCGTCATTCGCGACCTGATTCGGGAGTACCGCGACGTCTTCCCCCCGTATTTCTCATACAGTGGGATTCCCCCGATGCGCGGTGTCGAGCATTCCATCCAACTCGTGCCTGACTATCGTGTTCACCATCAGGCACCATACCGACTCTCGATTCCAGAGGCGACGAAACTCAAGCGTCAGCTTAAGGAGCTCCTTCGACTTGGTTTCATTAAACCTAGTAACTCCCCTTGGGGTGCACCTGTCCTCTTTGCTCGCAAAGCGGACGGAACTCTCCGCCTCTGCATCGATTATCGCGGCCTTAACCGTTACACGGTTAAGAACAGCTATCCCATGCCCCGCGCGGATGAGCTGTTTGACCGTCTGGCAGGCAACCGCTTCTTCACGAAGATCGATCTTCGTAGCGGTTACCACCAGATCCGCGTTGCCGCAGAGGACCAGCCGAAGACCGCCTTTCGGTCGCGCCTCGGCCACTACGAGTTCACGGTGATGCCATTCGGCCTCACCAATGCACCTGCCACCTTCCAGACGGTGATGAAGGACATCTTCAGGGACATCCTTGAAGAATACGTTCTCGTATACCTAGACGACATCCTGGTCTACAGTCGTACCTTAGAAGACCATATCAGACACCTCCGCGATGTCCTACAATGCTTACGCAAGCATGGCTTCTATACCAAGCTCAGTAAGTGCCGCTTTGCCCAGCGCAAAGTGGACTTCCTAGGACACCATGAGTCTGACCAGGGTCTCCACATGGACGACGCGAAGATCACTGCTATTGAAGAGTGGCCAGACCCCACATCTGCCCAGCAACTTTGCAGCTTTCAAGGCCTCACCAGCTACTATAGTAATTTTATCCAGGGATACGCTAGGTATTCCTACGTCCTTACCTCCACCCTCCTCCGGAAAAACCCGCCGTGGTTTTGGACACCCCTCTGCGAGGACGCCTTCCGTGGCCTCAAGAAGGAGGTGACTTGCGCGCCGGTTCTTCGCCTTCCCGATTTTGATCGTCCCTTTATCGTCACCACCGATGCGTCAGATTTTGCAGTAGGAGTTGTCCTTTCTCAGGTGTTTGCCTCTCCTCCAGCTTCACCTTACCCCCATGTTCCTCCTTTTCCCATGGGACGGTCGAGGCTCGTGCTGGGGATTGCCCAATCACTTTCTTCTCCCGTCAGCTACTACCTGCCGAGATAAACTACACTGCCGATGAACGTGAGGTTCTCGCAGTAGTTTATGCTACCCGGCATTGGCGTCATTATCTGCATGGGGCGACCTTCACGGTGCGCACGGACAACTCAGTTGTCCAGGCTTTCCTCACGAAGCCTAAGCTTTCCCCTCGACAAGCACGCTGGTGGCGTGACTTATCCGAGTTCAGTTTCACCACTCAGCCCATCAAGGGTGAAACGAACCGCGTCGCGGATGCCTTGTCCCGCCGTCCTGATCACAATCAGGAACCCATCCATCTTGCTGCCATCTCCATCMCCAGTGTTGATCAGTCGGTGATCGACGCGTATTGCACTCAGTACCGCCACTGCCCCGATTATCGCGTCATCCACGCGACACTGCGGAGTGGCAAGACCGTTCCTTCCTACTCCTTCGGGGAGAACGACCTCGTGTACTGGCATGGCAGATCTGGTCAGCTAGAACCACGTATCTGCGTTCCCTCCACCAGACAGCTCCGCGTCCAAGCTGTAGCATAGTTCCATGACCAGGCAGTTGCCGGTCATATGGGTTTCCACAAGACGTTGGCTCGTGTTTGCCGCCTATACGTCTGGCCGAAGTCCAAGGACTTTGTCAAAGCCTACATCCAGGAGTGTCCTACCTGCCAGGAGGTGAACAGTGCRAACCACCTTCCGTATGGGTTACTTCAGCCCCTACCCATACCTGAAGGTCGTTGGCAGTCTATCTCGATGGATTTCATTGGTCCCCTCCGCCCACCCACTCAGYGMGGTCATGATGCTATCTTGGTCGTCATCGATCGCTTCACGAAGCGTGCACGTTTTGTTCCGTGCCGCTATCGCATTAGCGCTCGTGAGGTCGCCGACATCGTCTTCGACCGAGTTGTGAGAGATCACGGTTACCTCAGAGCATCATCTCCGACCGTGACCCGCGCTTTACCAGCACATTCTGGCGACGCATACACGAGGTGTACGGATCCCAGCTCTGCTTCTCATCGTCTTACCACCCTCAGACGGATGGTCAGACTGAGGTCACCAACAAAACTCTCGGTAATATCCTCTGAAAGTTTGTTAGGGATGACCAGCAGTGGGACTTACACTTAGCCCATGCGGAGATTGCGTACAACCACGCTGTTTCGCCAGCCACGGGGATGTCGCCATTCTATTGCGACCTCGGCTACCACCCTCGCGTACCTGCGGATTTCCTACGACCATCGCGGTTGCGCCCAGACACTCGTTGCCCTGCGCTTGACGACTGGATCACCCACATGGCGACGATTATGAAGCGCGCACACGAGAGTTTAGCCGACTCCCAGACTCGCATGGCCGCACGAGCGAACCGATCACGAATGGATCATCCATTCAAAGTCGGTGACGATGTGCTCGTCGACGCACGCCACTTACAACTCGAAGCAGATATGCTTCACAAGTTCAGGCGTCGTTTCTTTGGTCCATGCCGCATCCTTCAGGCCGTCGGCTCTGATACTGCCGCTAGTCTGGTCAGCTTCCATGTGAAGCTACCTGATTACCTTCGACAGGCTCGCGTACACGATGTTTACCACGTCTCTTTGCTGCGTCCTTATCGCAGACCGTCCGAGCGCTTCGCCAGACGCCCTTATGAGCGCCCTCCACCTATCATGGTGGACGATCATGAGGAGTTCGTTGTTTCTAACGTCGTATCACGCCAAGTTACCGACGATACCCCTCCACGCATTGAGTACCTTGTGCGTTGGAAGGGCTACCCTGATGAGGAGGCTACTTGGGAGCCCCTCGAGCACTTGCAGCACGCCAGGATGTTGGTGCGTGCATATGATCGTGCTCGTCGTGCTRGGACATCTGCTTCTACTCAGCCGACTGACCCTCTTCCTCCTCCTCCGGCTGAGGAGATCGCTRAGGATGAKCCCGCTCCCTCTGAGGCCGTTCCTCAGCCGCAGATGGTCGCCTCCGAGCGTTCACAGCGCACTCATCATCGCCCTTCACGTTACGATGACTCACACTCTTATCCTCCATCTTTCCCCACTGACTCACACCATCAGGTACTCCATCATCARCTCTTCTTMAGGATGTCAGCGTTTTGCGGCTCTGCTTCGACATCGACTCGACTGCTACTTCATCGACGTCATCGACCGATTCGACGACTTCAGCTACCTTATCGGCTTCAGCTACTTTGGACGTGACTACTTCACGCCACCACCCTACCCTGTACATTCCCTTGCATCTGTCGCATGATAGTTCTCACTTAGCTGGGTCTCTTTGAGTTGGGCTCTCCCTTGGTATCGCATAGGCATTGGGACCGTAGCGTTATCTTGGCYTCCCTGCTCCCAGATCTAGCTCCTTCCTCCCCCAGTCGGTGAGTTGTGTGCATGTTTCCCTCACCCACTGCCCTCATCACCCTAGTGYCGGCCCTTGCATGCCATCAGTTAGGCATATCTCCACCCTATTCATGGCTCCCCCTTTTCATGGTCGACCCTGCATGGTGTCACCCTTGTCGAGCATTACCCRCCTTGATGGTCTATCTGTTAGGGTCATTGGTTTTGTTTCGCTACCACTCTCCCACCTTGAGCCTGATGACCTATCCCACCTTCATGTGTGACTGCCCTTAGGAGTTTCGATTCTTAGGCTGCATTCACCCCCTCTGAGACCATCCCACTTTTAGTGGTTCAGCGASATGACATTRTCTTRTDWCATATTGCTCTTCTMCTTTCAGCACTGAGGCCACTGCCTCCAGGACTTTAGGAGTGTATCATACTACATTTCATTTTCTGCTGTTAGCTAGGATATGTATACCAGACATTTGCTTTTCTTTTGACATTATATAGCCTAGGATGCATCGCATGGACTCTGCATGGAGCTTGCTCCGCATCCTASATTTCTCAGCTTTCTTTATTGCAGAGTTCCGCTGCTTTTGCGGATAGCRTGTTTATGGCTCTTGCRATCCATTASAGGYWTGAGGATCGTGCARCGGGCCTTCATCTGCCCTGGCCCACAGCCAGGGCCTATTTGGCTATTTGCCAGTCCGGCCTGTGGGACCAGGCCGTGGCCTGACCCCACAGGCCGTGCGGTTATTCAGTCCAGTCCAGTCCAGTCAGTCCGCTGGGGGTATACCCGAGCTGCAGTCTGTTTTGTGGCATTCTTCATTTGCACAGATTGGAGTACGTGCGTGTCGAGTCTGCGTTGGAGTTGCGCTGTCCCTTCCAGCTCCATCTCCATCTCCCCCATCCTCATCCCTTCGTCTTGATCCTGACGGACCGCCATCTCGACGGGTCCGTCACAATAATCAAAGGTTGGCTGAGATCTTGATCAGCCACCCTGAATGCACTGATGCGCAGCCCCCTACCCTGGGTCTTCACTGCTGCCAAGGTGTGGCTGCAGTAGTAAGAGAAATAATGATGATGATGATGATGATCATCATCATCATCATCATCATCATCATCATCTGGGTGGGCTAAGATCTTGATCAGCCACCCTGATCTCCCTGTGGTGCAAACCCCTAGCCAGGGTGATCTTCAAGGTCCTCAGCAAACTGCCACGTGGCACTGCAGATGGCCACGTGCGTAGGTAGAAGCAGCCACGATGCCCGAGGGGCGGGGGCAAATAGCAGCTCGCTACTGCCCTGTTGGCCGCTGCTTGCCGCTTGCCGCTCGCCAACGGGGAGAGGGGGGGGGGTGTAAATAGCTCGTGTGAAACTGTTCAACACGAATGTCCCACACTACAGAGGCATGGACACAGTTTGTGCATCAAGGTGCAGCACCTGCCTGGGTTCAAACCCTGGCAGCAACATGCATCCCGGATCTTGATATGTAAAATCCGGGAGCGGGGTGGGGTGGGGCTGTGGGGTGGGCACGTGGCGTGTGTGTGTCATGACGACACTCTCTCTTTTCTCGCCACTTGTCGCTCCCTTGTTGCTAAGCGTTTGTCACGCGTTGTAATGACACTCTCTCTTTTCTCGCCACCTGTCACTCCCTTGCCGCTGCGTGTTTGTCCGCTTTTTCCAGCTGTTTTCGTTTGAAAATGCCCAAAAAATAGGCAAAAACCTTTAGTCCTTTTTACACCATGTCTGGGCTGTGGTGGGTGGGAGCGGGGAACGTTCCCGCGCTTATGGGATGAAGACGAAGGGTTGAAGGGGGGGAGGAGATGAAGATGGAGCTGGAAGAGACTGCGCAGCTCCGACGCGGACTCAACACACACGCACTCCAAATGTGCAAAATGAAGAATAAACGAAAACAGATTGCAGTTGGGGTATACCCCCTGCGGACTGATTCGACTGGACAGGACTGGGCTGAAACAGCACACAGCCTGTGGGGTTAGGCCACGACTTGGTCCCACTGGCCAAACAGGCAAATAGCCCGATAGGCCCTGGTTGTAGGCCAGGATAGATAGAGGCCGGCTGCAGTGTGTGTGTGTGTGTGTGTGTGTGTGTGTGTGTGTGTGTGTGTGAGCGTTCGTTATTTTAGCTTCCACTTTTATAAATTTTAATCCTGACAGCTACTCTGTTCCCATCGTTGGAAGCCCATGCCACCTCTTTTTCGTGTTTGAAGAGCCGTTATAGTCGAATACTCCTCGAGGTGAATGGAGTCACAACCCTCGAGGAGAAGTTCGAAAGTGAAAGCTGAAGACCGGTCAGAGCATCAGAGGGGTTGCACGCGGTCTTAAGGGAATTTGAGATTGGAGGTGGAAGGAGGAAGAAAGGTCAGAGGGTTAAGATGGGTTATATCAAATCCAATGACATGTAAGCAATCACAACCGTAGAACCAAAATTTAAAGTGAGAGTTGAGGAAGGGTTATGGAGGATCTTTGATGGCCAAGGGAATGTGGGATTGCCAACTTGGTCTTTCGACGCTTTCCGCCAACCTGCAACTTGTGCGAAGAAGCGAGACTCCATGTGATGGACCCGCCGAGATAGCAGCCCATCAGGATTAAGACGAAGGGTTGAAGGGGGGAGGAGATGGAGATGGAGCTGAAAGGGACAACGCAACTCCGACGCAGACTCAACACGCACGTACTCCAAAGTGCAAAATGAAGAACGAATGGAAAACATACAACAATTGGGGTATACCCCAGTGGACTGACTAGACTGGACTTTATTGGCCTGGTATCGACAGTGGTACGGGGTAGGACTGGACTGGACTGGAACAACACACAGCCTGCGGGGTCAGGCGACGATCTGGTCCCACATGCCGAACAAGCAAATAGCCTGATAGACCCTGGTTGTAGGCCAGGACAGATAGAGGTCCGTTGCACGATCCTCAAACATGTAGTCGATCGCAAGAGCCATAAACACGCTATCCACAAAAGCAGCGGAACTCTGTAATAAAAAAACCAGAGAAATATAGGATGAGGGGAAAGCTCCATGCAGAGTCCATGCGAGGCAGCCTAAGCCAC